TATAAAATAAAAATTCTTGAAAAAGTTTGTTAATACAGTACTACAAAAATTCGAAATATTTTTTAAAATATCATACAATTTTTAATCTTTTCATTAAAACTTCACGTGAAATTTTTAGTGAATTGACAATTAGATATTATGCAAATAAAGAATATTATGTATTTGTAATCCTTATTTAAACACGGAGAAAAAATTGTAAAAGGAGGAGAAATCATAATATTTGTTAGAGTTCAACAAACGGAAAATCTTCCTATTCATTATAATTCTTTCATCTTATTTTCTGAATTTTCTTAGGATTTATTCTGCTTCTTTTCAATGAGATAAAAACATTTAATAAGCACAAAACCTTTCTAAGAAAAATAGTAAATTGAAAATCTGAAATAATCCATTAAGTGACATTATTAAAGTAAGGCGATGAGTATGTAAAAATCATATCAATTCTATTAATATAAAAATGTTTTATCGACTTAAATATAATAATAAAATAAATTACCACAATTAAAATATTAATTTTAATTATTTTCTTTTAACATAATTAACATTTGCTAAAATAGTGGGGTGAGATAAAATGAATTATCTAATCGATTGATATCGATCCGAAATTCCTAATCGCGATTCTCATGTAATTGGTGGTGGCTATAATATGATCCTGTGAGAATATTTAACTTAAACATCTTGAATATTAAATTGCATAAATTGCAATATATATTCGATATGAGCTTTCCACTTAATTAATATAATTTGAATTTTGATAATATAAGCTTATATTAAATGAACTAATGAATACATATCTGAATTCATTCATAATATACCTATATAGAATATTATATATATCTTAATTTTGTTTAATATTAATGTGATCTTCCTACGTTTAGGAAATTTGTAACCACAATTTTTAACTTGTTTTCATTGATCTTCTACTTTATGTTCTCACTGCAACGTATAGTTTGTGGTTTCATTTTAGTAGGACTTTGCGAACAATCTATAAAATAAATAGAAGCAATCGATCTTTATCTTCGTTACAATCCATATACTACATAAATTATTTTACTTCACAATATATCGTTTGTGTAAACGAGGACAGCAGCTGCATTCTCCTTTATCAGTTCACTCAATAAAAGAGTTGGTTCTAAGTTTTCAAGAATCTTAGGTCAATCATAGGAAATTTATTTGAAAATATTACATATTTTTTTACTTTTCCGTTAACTGGTCTTTAGTATTATTAAGAAATTATTACAAAATATATAGATTTTGAGAAACGATAATTCCATGCAATAAACGAACGTTGTTATTGATTTAAAGATGTATAAATGAACTAATTAAAATTAAATTATTAATTGTATTTTAGTATAAACTGTATCGAATATTAATCATTAAACTTCCTTTATTATCTCAATTAAACTATTCTTCGATCACTAACGAGTAAGGTTACGTCAACTAAATGTTTGGCGTAACTTTACTCGTTAGTGATTATCAAGTAATTGATCGTTTAATTAAAATTACAGAAGAATTTAATAATAATGTTTTAATGAAGATATATTTTTTCCAACCAACGTTTTACTTGTTTTTCCCCCTTGATTAAAACAGAAATCTCGTAAGCCTATTTAAATTTTTAATTTATTTTTCATTTACTAATTTTTACCTTGATTTTTTCCTTTACAAAGCTCACTTTGTTAATTATATTTAATCTCATCCTGTAATTCTGTAATCTAATCCTGTAACTTTTATTTTTATTTTATTGTACTGTCGGGTTGAACTGACTTAAATTTATTTAAGTTATCTTTGTATTTTTCTTAGTTATTTAGGCCTTATTTTCATACTAATCTCTGTGTGACGTCAGAATTTTAAGTGTATTTAACTAATTTAAAAATTCAATTCGAACAATAAAAACAATGCTTTTAAAACTCTCCCGTTCAATAAAAAAAATAATTTTCTTGTCTATTATATTTGTTAGAATGGTTATTTTTAATATGAATTTAAGATCAGCAATGTAAATATTATTATAAATAACTTTTTCGTGGCATAAATCACCCATAACTGTGAAAACTCTTTATCGATATCAAATTGTCAGTTTATTGAAAATGGCAGCATCCTTTATCAATTTCATAATTCTGTTGTCGTTATATATATCATATAATGGTAAATTCATGAGAATGTATATATATATAGCACTATTTACAGTCATATATACTATATGTGACCTATATATATATAAATATAAATTTTCAAGATATCTGTAGGCGCACGTTAGCTATATGATGTCTGTCACTTTACAATCTCTTTTAAGAATTATTTCTTTATCAAAAAGCAATTGAGGTGATTCTTTATATTGTAGAAGACACCCAAAAACATACTTTTTTTATTATTTTCTAGTTTAAAAAAATAAAGTAGTAATTTATTTTTAAATAGGAATGAAACTTTATAAATTCACTACTATAAATGACATTAAATTATACTATTTAAAAACGATATAGAATGTTAATGCTTAAATTCACACCAAAAAATATACATCTTTAGAGGAAAAAAGAATTCAAAGGTCTTCATCGTGAGTATTTTTTTTAAATTAAAAGCATTTTTAACCTAAGTGATGTAGGGCAGAGAACAACTGACTTCAGAAAAATGCCATTGAGAGAATTTTTCGGACATTAATCAAACTATTTTTGGTTTACTTATCTATTTTAAACGGAAATAGTGCCATTTAAACGATTCTGTATGTATTTTATATAAATGATGTTATAAAAAAATACAAATAAAAATGATAAATTTACTTTTTTTAATTTTTATATATAATTAATCAAGCTTTTAAAATATATTTACATTATTTTTTTAAAAACTTTGTCTTATGAAATTCAGGAGTTAGTCGAAAAATTGTCATAATTAAAAATTTTATTTAATATAAAATATGAATTTAAATTCTGTGTTTTGTTCCATACGTTAAAAAATTTTACCAACAATTTTCATAGTCAAAAAATTGTTTTAAATTTATCATTATAAAGAAGTTCGTGTAAAATTTAACGTAGAAAGAGATAATTGGGTTGCAGTTTTCAAAAATCGTACACCTATAAATTCCTACTGGTCTCCGTGTCTGTCCTCCTTTAGATTTCGAAAAACGGAGTTAAATAGATGAAAGTCATAACTAGATATGAAAAGATCAGTGGAAGGAGGCCCTAAATAACTATATAGGAACATTCGGTTTGTACCAGAAGGCACGTAATTTTAAATCAAAAGTTTTCTTCTGAACGGAATTAGATAGATGGCCGCATGACTTTATTGTTAACAGGAAACGTATGATGTACAGGGGCAAGACACTACTAAAATTGAGAGCATTGTGATAATGTCACAATAAATAATCGTACGTTGTAAATTAATAACGAATGTAAATTTGACAGTTTTATAATTTATTTTACATATATAAACTTCACAATTGCAGTACGAAAATTATACGATTAACGAAAAAATTAATGATATAAAATAATGAGCACTAATTTAAAATAAAGAGATTTTTTAAGTATGTAATACATAATTCTATTAAAGTAATTTGATTTTTAGTAAATGATATAATAGGTAATTTTTAAAAACTAATTTACTGAGAATTAATTATGTTCTTGTTATTTAATCCATAATTATGCACATTAATAACTCCTGCTACAGTTCACTTATTTTCACGCAAAATAGTCAAATTAACGTTTCTTCTTAATATAAATTTAGAAGAAAAGTTATAGTTTCTGGAAAATTATTTTTAAATATATTTAAAAATACATTTTTATTTTATTCTTCTTTAGTAATATAAAATTAAGTAAAGATTTTTCGTATTAAAATATTAATTTCTTCTTTTTTTTTCTAATTTCANAAACGATTCTGTATGTATTTTATATAAATGATGTTATAAAAAAATACAAATAAAAATGATAAATTTACTTTTTTTAATTTTTATATATAATTAATCAAGCTTTTAAAATATATTTACATTATTTTTTTAAAAACTTTGTCTTATGAAATTCAGAAGTTAGTCGAAAAATTGTCATAATTAAAAATTTTATTTAATATAAAATATGAATTTAAATTCTGTGTTTTGTTCCATACGTTAAAAAATTTTACCAACAATTTTCATAGTCAAAAAATTGTTTTAAATTTATCATTATAAAGAAGTTCGTGTAAAATTTAACGTAGAAAGAGATAATTGGGTTGCAGTTTTCAAAAATCGTACACCTATAAATTCCTACTGGTCTCCGTGTCTGTCCTCCTTTAGATTTCGAAAAACGGAGTTAAATAGATGAAAGTCATAACTAGATATGAAAAGATCAGTGGAAGGAGGCCCTAAATAACTATATAGGAACATTCGGTTTGTACCAGAAGGCACGTAATTTTAAATCAAAAGTTTTCTTCTGAACGGAATTAGATAGATGGCCGCATGACTTTATTGTTAACAGGAAACGTATGATGTACAGGGGCAAGACACTACTAAAATTGAGAGCATTGTGATAATGTCACAATAAATAATCGTACGTTGTAAATTAATAACGAATGTAAATTTGACAGTTTTATAATTTATTTTACATATATAAACTTCACAATTGCAGTACGAAAATTATACGATTAACGAAAAAATTAATGATATAAAATAATGAGCACTAATTTAAAATAAAGAGATTTTTTAAGTATGTAATACATAATTCTATTAAAGTAATTTGATTTTTAGTAAATGATATAATAGGTAATTTTTAAAAACTAATTTACTGAGAATTAATTATGTTCTTGTTATTTAATCCATAATTATGCACATTAATAACTCCTGCTACAGTTCACTTATTTTCACGCAAAATAGTCAAATTAACGTTTCTTCTTAATATAAATTTAGAAGAAAAGTTATAGTTTCTGGAAAATTATTTTTAAATATATTTAAAAATACATTTTTATTTTATTCTTCTTTAGTAATATAAAATTAAGTAAAGATTTTTCGTATTAAAATATTAATTTCTTCTTTTTTTTTCTAATTTCAGGTGCGCATTTAATAATGGATGATGCTGATTACTTCCAAAATTTCACTTATATTATCACTTTCAATGAAAATAGTACAGAAATAGAAAGTGAAGAAACTGCGATAACTTTGATAAACGATACTTCTATAGCAGAAGCCATAACTACAGCGTTTATCTTGGGTATCTTAATCATCTGTACAATTGTAGGTAACATCCTCGTTATCATATCTGTTTTCACGTACAAACCGTTGAGGAATGTACAGAATATGTTTCTCGTATCCCTGGCTGTGGCAGATATTACCGTAGCAGTACTCGTAATGCCATTCAACGTGGCTTATTCTATAATGAAAAAGTGGGTTTTCGGTTTAAGAGTATGCGAAATGTGGTTAACGTGTGACGTTCTCTGCTGTACTGCTTCAATACTTAATTTGTGTGCCATAGCTCTCGATCGATACTGGGCCATACATGACCCTCTTAATTACGCCAGGAAGAGGACGTTAAATAGAGTGATGACTATGATATTTTTAGTTTGGGTAATAAGTGGATTAATTTCGGTTCCTCCTCTGTTCGGTTGGAACGATTGGCCCGACATGTTTACCGAAGACACTCCATGCCAATTGACAGCAGAAAGAGGTTACGTCATATATTCAGCTAGCGGTTCCTTCTTCATACCCCTCATAATCATGACTTGCGTTTATTTTAAGATATTCCAAGCTGCTAGACGAAGATTAAGAGTCAAAATTCGAAATGCGGGGGAAATCACTAAAGGCGATAAATCGAAAGAGAAAGTTGTTGAAACTCTCTCCGTTATGGTTCAAAAGGAACTAGAAAATTCAGCCACTTCGATTTATCCCGGTTCGATATCAATTCAAGACGAAATATCTGATGTTCCACAGGACAAAGAAACGGCCTTTTCTGTAAACGGTAATACTAAAGGAAATTCTGTACAGTCTGCTCCATCGAGTGTCAAAAAATATATGGAAGAAAAGCAAAGAATATCTCTCGCTAAAGAAAGGAGAGCCGCTCAAGTTTTAGGAATCGTTATGGGTGTCTTTGTCTTATGTTGGCTTCCATTTTTCCTAATGTATGTTATTTTACCATTTTGTAACAATTGTTTCATTTCAGATCGAGTTGTAAATTTTATCACGTGGTTAGGTTATATTAACTCTGCCCTAAACCCGGTCATATACACTGTTTTCAATTTGGATTTCCGTAGAGCTTTTGTCAGAATTCTTTGTAGAAATGTCAAATAAATAATATAACTTAAAATTCGATATGTTTATATCAGGTAATGATGTTTTGAAAATGAAATATCTAAACTAAAATCAGGTTGAAAGAATTAAATTTTCCTACTTTAAATGTGTGTAATTTCTATACACATATATATATTATAATTAATTTAATTTAAGATACTAAATTTATATCTCTTCTGGTGCAGCGAAATTAAATGCTTAAAAACATACATTATCTCTGGAATTAAAACATTACTAAGTCTTATCAGTTAGACGTAATTTAAGTACAACTTTAAAAAATTAAGTTTATCAACTTGACATATTTTTAAAAATAATTGTATAAAATGTCATAAATTAATAAAATATAAGTGAATAATTTCTCATAATTTCAAAATATTAGCTAAATTTGCTTTATTTCTGAAGTATTTTCAGTATAAAAAAAGGCAAGTTTCCTGGAAAAGAGCCCAAAAGTTAAGTACATAATTAAAACGAATTTAAATATTAAATTAAAGTAATTTTTATTGATATTAAATAAATGGAAAAATATTAATCTTCATCAATTNATCACGTGAATTCAAAATGTTCTCCAGAACAGAGTTAGATAGCTTACCGGCATGACTCGATTGTTGTTAGGAGAAGCACGATGTACAGGGGCAAGACAATACAGTACTAATTTGAGGTAGAGAGCATATATTTTAAATTAAAGTTTAATTTACATAATTACTATAATGCAATTGATTACCTTTGTGAACTGTATATGAACAGTGTTTTAAAAGCACGTTCTGTTAGATCTAATTGTTATATTTATGAGTTTAATTTAAGAAAATTTCACGTCGAAACTTCTAAATTTCTAATTTGTTACGATGTATTTTACAATACAAAATCAAATTACATTTTTTATGCATATTACTTGACAATATTGGATATATCGGCAAACGAACCTGATTTTATTGTTGTGTTGAAGAATTGCCAGATATTGCCCCAGATTTTACACTACTGCCTTCTAGATACAGGAGGATTTCATTCTGAAATCTGTTCCTACAACGAAGCATTTTCTTTTTTTAGCATTTTAAATTTATTTCTCTCACTTGCAGAGTAAAATTACACATCTATTGCATGTCCTGGGATTGAAGAATTGCAGATTTTATCCCCATGTATCTGGCAACCTCATACTTAAGATATATTGAGTCTCAATAACATTGTTGTGAATTCTTGTATCTGTTGTTAAAGGATTCTTGTAGTTTACGTTTCTCTTAAAATGTATTCAAAAATATAAATATGAATAATGATTCTAGAAGAGAAATTTGGAAATAAATTTTTATGAGAAAAATGTCTAAATAAATTATTAAAAAATATATATTTATTAAGTATTTAATTAATTTTTAATAGTAATATATGGAAGAAGTAGGAAAATCTTAATTCTGAATATCCATTCTTGTGAAAACATTTCATGTTTAAGAGATTTTATATAATCTAAAGATGTAAAGGATATAAATATGGAATAATCAAGTCATATTGTATTTCTCTTTATGTGCAATATATACCGACATTTTCGTGTATTAAGTAAATATATTTTAAATTACGACCAATATTAATATTGAAAGTTGTCAACAGGACGTTCACTTCTTACCAATACAGTATTAAAATGTTTATTTATTTTCTCCTAAAGATCTTTTAAAAAAAAGTATGAATTCTGATAAATTATAGACAAACAGTAGATAGAATAACAGTGCCAAATACTGTATAAAATAAAACATTTTGCTCAAATCCAGAGGAAACTTACATATAATAATAAAAAATTTTTCTTCATATTTATCTACATTAATCTACAAAATATCTGTCAAACTATAATTATTTATTTGCAGAATTTCTATAATTATTTAAATAAAATTAGTAGAATTTTCCTTCTGTCTATTATTGATTATGTAATTTATCTTATAAAGAAAGAAGTGTATTCGTTCTATGTTAAAATAAAATTCATTAATTATACATGGATTTAATTTATTATACTTCTTTAAATAAAATATGAAATAAACTCCATTCAACTTTCTTCTGTAAAAGTGTTTGTTGGGCTGCAGTTTTCAAATTGCAGATCTATACATTCATACTCTCGTCCATCTGTTCGTTCATCCTTTATTAATCTTGAGAACAGAGATAGATAGATGAAAATAAAGTAAACTCAGAAGCTGGAGGCCCAAAATGACTAAATACGAACGTTCGGTTAAAACCGGTAATCACGTGAATTCAAAATGTTCTCCAGAACAGAGTTAGATAGCTTACCGGCATGACTCGATTGTTGTTAGGAGAAGCACGATGTACAGGGGCAAGACAATACAGTCGATCCCCCTATAAGATCATTGATTTTTCCGTTTTATCTGAATTACATGTTGTACGAGTCACTTAGATTTTACAAATATGTGAGCCGTTCACNTATGATATTTTTAGTTTGGGTAATAAGTGGATTAATTTCGGTTCCTCCTCTGTTCGGTTGGAACGATTGGCCCGACATGTTTACCGAAGACACTCCATGCCAATTGACAGCAGAAAGAGGTTACGTCATATATTCAGCTAGCGGTTCCTTCTTCATACCCCTCATAATCATGACTTGCGTTTATTTTAAGATATTCCAAGCTGCTAGACGAAGATTAAGAGTCAAAATTCGAAATGCGGGGGAAATCACTAAAGGCGATAAATCGAAAGAGAAAGTTGTTGAAACTCTCTCCGTTATGGTTCAAAAGGAACTAGAAAATTCAGCCACTTCGATTTATCCCGGTTCGATATCAATTCAAGACGAAATATCTGATGTTCCACAGGACAAAGAAACGGCCTTTTCTGTAAACGGTAATACTAAAGGAAATTCTGTACAGTCTGCTCCATCGAGTGTCAAAAAATATATGGAAGAAAAGCAAAGAATATCTCTCGCTAAAGAAAGGAGAGCCGCTCAAGTTTTAGGAATCGTTATGGGTGTCTTTGTCTTATGTTGGCTTCCATTTTTCCTAATGTATGTTATTTTACCATTTTGTAACAATTGTTTCATTTCAGATCGAGTTGTAAATTTTATCACGTGGTTAGGTTATATTAACTCTGCCCTAAACCCGGTCATATACACTGTTTTCAATTTGGATTTCCGTAGAGCTTTTGTCAGAATTCTTTGTAGAAATGTCAAATAAATAATATAACTTAAAATTCGATATGTTTATATCAGGTAATGATGTTTTGAAAATGAAATATCTAAACTAAAATCAGGTTGAAAGAATTAAATTTTCCTACTTTAAATGTGTGTAATTTCTATACACATATATATATTATAATTAATTTAATTTAAGATACTAAATTTATATCTCTTCTGGTGCAGCGAAATTAAATGCTTAAAAACATACATTATCTCTGGAATTAAAACATTACTAAGTCTTATCAGTTAGACGTAATTTAAGTACAACTTTAAAAAATTAAGTTTATCAACTTGACATATTTTTAAAAATAATTGTATAAAATGTCATAAATTAATAAAATATAAGTGAATAATTTCTCATAATTTCAAAATATTAGCTAAATTTGCTTTATTTCTGAAGTATTTTCAGTATAAAAAAAGGCAAGTTTCCTGGAAAAGAGCCCAAAAGTTAAGTACATAATTAAAACGAATTTAAATATTAAATTAAAGTAATTTTTATTGATATTAAATAAATGGAAAAATATTAATCTTCATCAATTTTGGATAAGATTAAATATTAATCTCATCTTAAATTGATAAATTTTTGGATATTTAATTATAATGACAAACATCCGTTATATATTAGATCATGAGGTTTTCGATTATTAAATCAATTTTGAATTATAATATATATTTTAAATTAAAGTTTAATTTACATAATTACTATAATGCAATTGATTACCTTTGTGAACTGTATATGAACAGTGTTTTAAAAGCACGTTCTGTTAGATCTAATTGTTATATTTATGAGTTTAATTTAAGAAAATTTCACGTCGAAACTTCTAAATTTCTAATTTGTTACGATGTATTTTACAATACAAAATCAAATTACATTTTTTATGCATATTACTTGACAATATTGGATATATCGGCAAACGAACCTGATTTTATTGTTGTGTTGAAGAATTGCCAGATATTGCCCCAGATTTTACACTACTGCCTTCTAGATACAGGAGGATTTCATTCTGAAATCTGTTCCTACAACGAAGCATTTTCTTTTTTTAGCATTTTAAATTTATTTCTCTCACTTGCAGAGTAAAATTACACATCTATTGCATGTCCTGGGATTGAAGAATTGCAGATTTTATCCCCATGTATCTGGCAACCTCATACTTAAGATATATTGAGTCTCAATAACATTGTTGTGAATTCTTGTATCTGTTGTTAAAGGATTCTTGTAGTTTACGTTTCTCTTAAAATGTATTCAAAAATATAAATATGAATAATGATTCTAGAAGAGAAATTTGGAAATAAATTTTTATGAGAAAAATGTCTAAATAAATTATTAAAAAATATATATTTATTAAGTATTTAATTAATTTTTAATAGTAATATATGGAAGAAGTAGGAAAATCTTAATTCTGAATATCCATTCTTGTGAAAACATTTCATGTTTAAGAGATTTTATATAATCTAAAGATGTAAAGGATATAAATATGGAATAATCAAGTCATATTGTATTTCTCTTTATGTGCAATATATACCGACATTTTCGTGTATTAAGTAAATATATTTTAAATTACGACCAATATTAATATTGAAAGTTGTCAACAGGACGTTCACTTCTTACCAATACAGTATTAAAATGTTTATTTATTTTCTCCTAAAGATCTTTTAAAAAAAAGTATGAATTCTGATAAATTATAGACAAACAGTAGATAGAATAACAGTGCCAAATACTGTATAAAATAAAACATTTTGCTCAAATCCAGAGGAAACTTACATATAATAATAAAAAATTTTTCTTCATATTTATCTACATTAATCTACAAAATATCTGTCAAACTATAATTATTTATTTGCAGAATTTCTATAATTATTTAAATAAAATTAGTAGAATTTTCCTTCTGTCTATTATTGATTATGTAATTTATCTTATAAAGAAAGAAGTGTATTCGTTCTATGTTAAAATAAAATTCATTAATTATACATGGATTTAATTTATTATACTTCTTTAAATAAAATATGAAATAAACTCCATTCAACTTTCTTCTGTAAAAGTGTTTGTTGGGCTGCAGTTTTCAAATTGCAGATCTATACATTCATACTCTCGTCCATCTGTTCGTTCATCCTTTATTAATCTTGAGAACAGAGATAGATAGATGAAAATAAAGTAAACTCAGAAGCTGGAGGCCCAAAATGACTAAATACGAACGTTCGGTTAAAACCGGTAATCACGTGAATTCAAAATGTTCTCCAGAACAGAGTTAGATAGCTTACCGGCATGACTCGATTGTTGTTAGGAGAAGCACGATGTACAGGGGCAAGACAATACAGTCGATCCCCCTATAAGATCATTGATTTTTCCGTTTTATCTGAATTACATGTTGTACGAGTCACTTAGATTTTACAAATATGTGAGCCGTTCACAGCCCGGCACACGTATTTGTAAAATCTAAGTGACTCGTACAACATGTAATTCAGATAAAACGGAAAAATCAATGATCTTATAGGGGGATCGACTGTATTAAAATCGAGATCACATATAGAATGTTTAGGGGCCGTCCATAAATTACGTAAGGGCGATTTTGGCCATTCTAGACCCCCACCCACCCCTGTGTAAGAAAAAGTAATATTTTCTTTGATCCCCCTCCCCTTCCCTATCTTACGTAATATTCTGGCATGATTTTATAAAAAGATTTTAACCAAAAAAATTTTTTTATAAACCTTAAAAACCTTAGGTCCAAAATATATAATTATTAATTAGTTAATTAATATGTACTATTATTTATAAAAGACTTTAGGTGATCAAATTTAAAAATGTAAGAATTTAATAAATTTGAATGAACAATTTATTTTAAGAACTTTATTTTTTAATTATTAAGAATATTACTATTATTATTATTATCATTAATCAACGTCAAAATATTTATTTTTATATTAATTTTAATTTTCACAAAAGACGCAAAAAACTTTGCCAGATCGACTAGTTAGTGCACGTGTAAACAGAAAAGTCATACAAAATAAAACAAGAGAGAATAGAGAGAAACCACATTTCGTTGCCATATTGATTACATCTTGTCTAAGGCCAAGAAAATAAACTACATGCTGCTAAAATGTGATAGGTGCACCTGGGGACTAAATAATAAAGCTTATAAAACTCTATATGATGGGGCAATACAACCAATGCTATTTTACGCAGCCTCTGGCTGTGGTCATGTAACTAGTAAAAATTCAGTAGCAAGTAAATTACACTCTCTTCAAAGCCAGTTTGCCACCAGAATTATAAAGTACTGCAGAACTGTTTTTACTAATGCCTCTCTGATACTAGTAGAGCTCCTTCCTTTGCCACTACATATTATAGAAAAGGTTCTAAACTACATCAGAACTACAAACGTCAAGGCTCAACAACGGTCTCTACTCCTATCTACGGCTGTTCATACGCTACCACATTGCAATTACCCTACTATCTCTGATCATCATTCTGTAAACAAGGTTTTTTGGTGTCATCTGCTTCCTCCGTGGATAATCTTGCAGGCATCAATATCTACACAGATGGGTCCAAAAGCTCCCTTCTTGTCGGCTCAAGTATCTCTATCTTCCTCCAAACTTACATATTTTGCCAAAAATATGTTAGAAGGTACAGATACAACCCATATACCTTCATCTATCAAGCTGAACAAGATGCTGACTACCAAGCTGTTCAGTGGGCCACTTCACTACCAAACAAAACTCTGTCTATCAACATTTATAGTGATTCTGTCTGTCCTGAAAGCTCTATTAAATCCCAATTGCAATAGAATAAAATCGCATATATCCAGCACCATATTAAAAATCTTGTATATAAGATAATTTTTATATTTGTTCCTGGCCATACTGGCGTACTAGGAAATGAAAACGCGAACACTGAAGCTAAGTCAGCTGCAAAGGAAACTGACTCGGACTACACTCACATCCCTCTCTCATGTAGCAGCCTTAAAAATTATATTCATGACAACGCTATGCGAAAGTGGAATCAGTAAAAGTAGTTGAGCAGTAAAACTTGTAGAATAACACGACTTTATTTTCCTACTGTTGAATGTAGGTTCTCATCACTACTTAGCGATTTAACGTTTGCTACTGCTCAACTATTTACTGAGCGTGGTAATTTTAGAAGCTGCCTGGCAATGTATAACCGGCAGAAACTGCTTCTTGCTTTTGCTCTACAGAAAACCTAGACTTCGTTGACCACGTGATTTATCATTGTCCAATTTACAATCGACATACACTTATTCTGAAATTAGAAATCTTTACGCTTGGTTTCAAGTGGCCACGTTCACTTAATAAGCTTGCTCAGAAGCCACTGTTTGATGCTTTTTACAATTATGTTCAAAAAATATGGAAGAAAAGACTATTTATAATTTATAATTTTACGTTTTAGTTTTCACTAAAATCCGAATACTAATTTTATGTTTACTTTGTATCGTGTATTTTGGTTTATGTATTCTTAGTGTTAAACATCAATAGGAGTGGTGCACTTATTCTAATAAAAACAAGAGAAAGAAACCACTACACGGACTTTCTCCCATAACAAAAAATGTGTAGAGCGTGAATGTGCTAGCGTTATTACTCTATCACGTCAGACGAGACAACGAGCGTTCTTAATAGAAACCGCCAAATTGAAGCCAAATTCAAAACGCCACCACTCAATGAGATCAAAAAGTAAAAATAAGAATATTACGTAAGACGAGATCTATTACCCCCTACCCCTGAGTAAGAAATTGTAAAAAAATCTTGACCCCTACCCACCCCAAAATACCTTACGTAATTTATGGACGGCCCCTTACGAAGCTTTTCATATCTAGTTTCGATTTTAAGTAGATCTGTCAACTACATACGAACTTCCAGTCTGGACCGGAAGCCACGTGATTTTTAAAAATGAACACGATTAGAAATTGTTGTCTGCCATTGTAATAATGTTACAGTAAATAATTGCTCTTTTCAAATGTAAAAATAATTTAATAGAACCAACGATTCGAAAGAAATATATGATATGACCTATAACTATTTATCTTCATTTATAATATACATAAGTATCCCATTGTTCGGTTGGTGTATTATATAATATATG